TTTGCCTGAAACTCTCAGACTGAAGAAGTCTCTTGGAAGAGAGACAAAACGTTTCATTAAAGAGGAACCCGTCCAGAGGACCTATACAATTTTTTTTCCTTTTGATTTTTTACCTGGGTTACTGAGATGCATCAGGATATCTTTACTTTACTTGAGTAATTTTTTTTTCATTTCTGCCATGTTTAATATTGTGGTTTGTGACATGAGGTTGAACAGTGAGAGATCAGCAGGATTTATGCACAATGAACTTGAAACAAAAATTGTGACTAATTAACTGAGTCTACAGTCTTGTAATTTACACTTTGTGTCCAATCATCTTTGTGTCCATCCCATCAGACTTGGATGAATGAAACCACCTGCATTCACAGACATGAGGCCAAGCAGAGAGGAGGTGGTAGGACAGAAAAACAGGTGTCTTTAGGAAAACATTATCAGAATATCACAGGATTGTGAAACCTGCCCTCCTATCTAATATGATTTTTGTAAACAGGCACAACTTAGGTCCATGTGACACTATTTTCAAGGAGGCATCTTCTGAATTTCGACCATTTGTAAACATTTTTTCACTAAAAAATACTTATACTTTAATATATTTTCATTTACAGCTTAATCAGTTAATATCCCCTCTGTGTGTACGTAAATAGTGTTTTATTTGAAAGCTTCAACTTCTCCACAAGATCACCTCTTGTGTTTTTTATTTAATTTATTTATATTAACCAGTAATAATTTGTCAGTGTGCTTTTTACTTTTACTCTTTACATTTTTCACAATTATCTGTACTTTCTACTCACTACATTTTTTAAAAAGGTAAGAAGTAGAAAGTCGTTACTCCTATTTTATTCTGAGTTATTACTTAAAAAATAATATCCTGATAAATTGTATCTCCTGGATAGAGTGAATTTAATTGTGTTTGGATGAGAAGTATAAATATATACCATTCTGACACCATATTAGCTTGTACACAACCCATCACAGCTGCACGCTGTTAGAAAAAAATATATTTTTTGGAGAAGTCACCTCCCAATAAATGTCATTTTATGACATTTATTCACTTTTACTTTTAATACTTAAGTGGATTTTGTGTCAGAAATTTACTTTTGATACTCAAGTACAAAAAATATCAGATACTTTAAGACTTTTACTCAAGTAATACTTTTTTAGAGAAGACTTTAACTTTTACCAAAGTATTTTTATGATAAGATACTTGTACTTTTACTCAAGTATCAATTTGAGGTACTCTATACAACAATGTATAACAGTATACTTAAAAGGTATAATTTTTAAAAATTTAAAACGTCCCAATTTAGTACGAACAAGTAAATCAATTTACTTTCTAGTACACTTGATATACTTAAACTACTCAAGTATACTTATTAAAATGAACTTCAAATATACTACATTTTACTGTTTGTTTATATAAAACCTCTGAATAAATTTACTCAAAATTCACACACGCAACTCTAGTTCTTCTAAAGTTAATTGATTTTCCACAAACAAGCTGAGGAAACCTCAGAACTGATTTTACTACAAATGTGCAGAATGTTGTGGTGTGCTTTCAGAGCTTAAAGCTGTTTTTAAAACTTCACTACATATCTGAGTCATCACTGTTTCAGGCAACAAAACATTGTGAACAAAACCTGAAAGGGATTGTTAATCCAGACTCAGAATGTAACAGAAAGAAGGTTGTCACCAAGCAGAGATTTAAAAAAAAAAAAAAAAACAAGTACAATTGCTCCATCTGCAGCAACCAGCAACACAATGAACCTTTGTTGGGCCCACAACAGAACCTCTGTTCTTCAACAAACAAATAGCTTTGAYGCAAACACTACAGAGCTCACTGCACACTCTTGACTGAAATGTAGGGTGGAGACTAAGAACACTCTGAGAAGATCTGATCATATTTCTTAGATCCAACAAAAACACGGTAAAAAAAAAAAAAAGGAGCAGCTTGATGGAGGCAAACCGAAACAATCCAAAGCTCAGCACAGAAGGAGAGGCTGCACAAGTGTCCCAGCTGCTGGAGATCATTAATACGGACACCCTCAATGCTCCTGAGGGGACGGAGGAGCTGGAGGTTAGAGACGTTTGGTCAGTGGAGATGGGAGACGACTCTGTGTTCTACAGTGACGAAGAGCATCAGGACAGAGGTGGTTTCAGAGCCGAGCGCAGACAATCTTGTCAACAGTGTGGCAGATTATGAAACTGACCAACAGAAGGAGAACGATCCAAGGGAAGAACGCTTTAATTACAGAGAGAACTGGGAGAGGGAAGTCATTTGGACTGAAGAAGCAAACACAAAGCTCCAGACTAAAATAACAAACGTAGCCGACACTGGAAAATCAGTGGCAGAGTCGGATGCGAGTCCTGAAAGGTTTGGGAGAACTTGTGAAGAGCTTCTGTCACCAGACTTTACAGCTTTTAATAAGCAAACATGTGGACTAAATGATTCAACAGCTAAAGGTAAGACAGACTAACAGTGCTGTTAAATAGATTGCTTTAACAAAAACTAAAGGTTTATTTTCTGTTCTTCTCAGCGAATCACCAAATCAGAGAAGAAGGCATGGTAGAAGGCAGAAGATCGCACCCAAATCTGTTTGAAGAGAGTTGCACAAAGATGGAAGAAAATACAGATCCTGTAACACAAGAGCTTTCTGTTGAACTCCAGAAATCAAACAAGCAGTTTGAGAAAGACCTGGAAGCCAAGTGCAGCTTTCCGGTAAATGCTGAGCATCCTCAAGATCCAGACCAAGATCACTCGGCCTCGGATGAGTCGAGCAAATCTGCCTGCAGCGCCTTCAACCACCTCTCCTCCAAATACAGCACAGTGTCGTACCGCAGGATCCTGAGAGGCAACACCCGGCAGAGGATAGAAGAGTTCGAGGTTCTGTTAAAGAATCAGTGAGGAGCTTTTCAAACACATGAAGTGTGCCTTAAAGAGCTTCTGAACAACTTAAGTTTGGATAAATATAGGTCTCGTTTAACCAAATTGATAACTGCTAGTCAAGACCAAAATACCTTTCTGCTGTCCTAAAACAGGTATAATAGCAAACATTTTATAGACGTTTGTGTGAACAGTATTTTATAAACCTTTATATTGCTGTAAATTTTGCATTACCTGGCTAATTGATTTTCCTGCCCTTTATTCATACAGCTAACTGGTAAGTTGCAAACAACCATTCCACATACTTTACAAACTAATACTAGTCTTCTACATGAATTTAGCTCATTAATCTGGTCAGACGTGATCTATATTTCTCCAAACTGAGGTTATGATCTACACTCAAAAAACAGTTTGTTGGGTTTACTTATGTTTAGTTCCCACTCAGCTGATTTGAGTAACGCTGCGTTCACACCGAATGTGATTTCAGCTTCAAAATCCAAAGCTTCAAGTTGGACACTTGTGCACTTTGAGRTCAGATGCGAGTCAAAATTGCTCTTGAAGCGCTCAACGCACGTCTGGTGCCTCCCCCCTCCCTCCTCTGCTGGTCTGTTCAATGGCAGATGAATTAAAAGAAGTGGCTTTGCTTTATTTACTGAGATCAAGAGCACGTCTCGCTCATCAGATTTAATTTATTATCACTTCACCAGATATTTCAGAAACGCTCTGATGGTGAGTTTCACCACCCAGGAGCTGCGAGGCTCGCTGTTTCAGAACTATTTTTGTCAGCTAAAGAGCTCCTGTCCATCTGCCTTGGGTTAGAGGACATTATTCAGGAAACTGTCCCATTTGGAAAATGTGTCACTTCGTCACAGTGGAGTCCCTCTTGGTTGACGCGTCGAGCTGTGAAAGTTCAGATTTTCCAAATCCAGCGTTCGACGTGCTTGACGCGTCGAACGCTCAAATCATTCAAATCTCGCAACTTTAATTACGCAAGACGCACCGCAGCACTTCCCGACGTTGAAATCACGTTCGGTGTGAACGCAGCATTAAGCAACATTAACATTTTCTTTAAAGTTACATGTAAAAGTTCTTTTACACCTACTTGGGAAATTGTTGACACAACTTGATTAAGTAAATCCAACACATCTGTTTTTGAGTGTAAAACAGGTAAGACATAAATCTTCCACAAAACTCCATTTCTAACCATTTAAACTAGAACTTTATCACACCTGTACTAATTCTATAATATAAATATAAACTTATTATTATTATAATGCATCTGACATTAGTGTTGAAAACCTTTTATATAACTTGCCAGGTACAAGTATTTGTAAATCTCATTAAAATACTCCATAATTAAATAAATATATGTGATTGCAAAGGTACTACAATTTTTAAACATTTTAAGTTCTTATTTTTTTCCTTTTTGGTAAAGAAAATTATGTCAAATACAAGGAAGATATTAGGACAGGCAAAAAGGTGAAAAAAATTTTCTTCACTTTTTGTAAAAAATCTATAAACCTGCAATAATGTCAAGAAGCACAACATACCTAAACTGTGCAGAGACAAACGATAATAAAGGAATCAAGACAAAGAGAGAGCTATTTGGTTTATTTATTTATTATTTTCTTTCTTGTATAAGATGCTTTCCAAGCAATCTGACTTTAAAAGTTTGTAAAATCAGAACACAGGTTTATGGAGCGTTTTCAACCAACACTTCCCTCTAGTGTTTTAGGAGGGGAAAGTCATCCAAAGTTTTCAAATTAGAGCTTAAACCTCACAAAAAGCAGCATAAAGTACACAACTCAATGAAAACATAAAAAAGTCATTATTCTCATCACACTGGCCCAGTAGGAAAAAAAACTTGAGGCATTTTTTTGTAAAAATTAAACTAAAAAAAACAACCTCCCACCAAGAAATCAATTTAAATCCCTGTTAAATAAAAAACAATCTTAGGCAGTAAGAAATTAGTTCTTTTGCACATTCCCACACCACCTGATTAATAGCATGCTTTCCAGCCATCAAACCACTTGTGTTTCCCTCCTGTTAGTCATGGTTAGAGGCCGCACGGTAAGGCCACTGGGCGTTTTTAATAGTGCACGTTTAAAGCTCACATCAGTGTCATTACTGGACAAGGTAATGTGTGAACTGCCACTTCTGGAAAACGTTGTTGGGTTCACATGGGCTGAGACGAACGGTGACACCTCCAGGTTCTGCCTCCAGGCACATGTGGTTGCTGGACTCTGCTATGAAGTGTTCCGCCTTGACACACAAACAGGAAATAGAACCAGGGAACATTTTAGCTTCTAAACGTGAGTTTATTTAAAGAGTTATGAGCACAAGTTAGACAGCAGCTCATGACCAACAGAGTTGTGAAAGCAAATGAAAAAATAAAATCAGAAAGATTTAAAAGTGTCTTACTAGAGCTTGGTTGGTGACTTTGTGTATCCAGCGAAGCTCACGTTTGGCGTTGTCACATGATAGTAAAAAGTCATGACCTTCGCTTTGCGGTTCAACACAGAGGTCCTGCTGGCGAATGTGCCTCATCCAGGTGTAATTAAAGTGCTGATTCTGAAAACGAAGACAAAACTGGGATTACCAGTGTGTAATTATGCAGCAAATCATGAACTACAGGAGAAATGCTTCAAATGCCGTGGTTTGAATCCAAAAAAGGTCGTATGTAGAAAGCCTCAGTTTTGAGCTCCACCCTTGTTTATCATGGCTTACAGTCTGACTGTTCAGGCCTGAAACATTGCCTGGACTCTCTTTTTTGCTATGTGCTGCATAATTACCACTGTCAACACCACAAACTTGCAGATAATCCTTCTTATTTCAACAGAAAAAGCAAAAATAAATACAGAACTGCACAGCATTTACTGTTACTTATTTGCTGCAAATGATCTTACGGATAAACCTGTCGCGATTTAGCAATAAATCAATGAACCACACTATAAATTAAAATGAGGTTGATGATTTTCATTTGCCTGCTTGTTTGTTTGTTCGTGTCTCCCTCTTTTCTGCTTCTTAGTGTAGGGAGGAGTGAACTCTGGTGTYGAGTATTTGCAGCTGCACCGTCTCATAGCTCTGTAGCACGTGAGCCCTGTGAACAGGCATTTAGCTAGAGGAGCCGCTTTGGTTTTCTGACGCCTTCTTTCAGCTGGCGACGCCTCAGGATGACCCGAGGGCACCGTGCCAAAGCTTGAGTTCATTGAGAGTTGCTTTATCTCCTTTTAACAATATGTACATTTTATAAACTTCTGTGAACAATATTATCATTTATCACAATACTTTGAGACAAATTATCACCCAGCAAATTTTGTTATTGTGACAGGCCTGCTCACAAATAAATCAAATCCTACCTGTTTCGTTAGATTGCATAATTCAAAGGACAATGCACCTTTCTGCTGGGCAAGGCATTTTCTCAGGCCGTGATTAAAAACCTTAAAAACAAAAAGGCTTAAATAAGAAAAAATAAAAACAAAACATTGCTGCAAAAAATACTTTTTGTTACTTCAATAAATAGTGACAAAGACTTATTTCAACAGCTTCATTTTGTAAAAACAAAAAGTACCGTATTTATTCGTGTATAATACGATCTCATGTATAATACGACCCCCTCTTTTTTGAGCTTAAAAAGCATAAAAAATTTAATCCTCAAACTACCTCCAATTTCATACAGACTTCAAAAATTTTCAGCCTTTCCAGTCTTTATACATATCAGTAAAATGATCATTGGACTGTTCATTTTATTTTAACAACATATGTACTAAAAGGTATTTTGACAACAAATATATATCAGCWGYAGCAGCATCATATGAATTCTGACATTTTACACACAGTCCACCAGGAGGCGCCAACACAAAAGTCAGAGACTTCGCATGAGATTTGGCCCATCTTGTGGGGGAAAAGCAGATTACTTCCTACTCGCGAGCGCTCTGGTTGGGAAATGTTTTTTCAGGGATACAAACTTTTTCAGAACACCGGTAGACGGCAGCCATTACAGACGAACATGTGTTTGTTGTTGTTCGAGGAGCGGCCCGGTCACACGCTAATGTCATTAGTTTGTTATCATTACTAAGGTGCAGGAATACTTTTTCCCCCCTTTTTTTCTCATCATGTCGCCTACCTGGATCTGTTATCGCGCTCTGAAGAACGGAGAAGTGTCAGGGTAAGCTCGTTTCAACTGCTTTTTACGAAGCGGTCTCATTTCCGGACTCAATAATTTTGTGAATGAAGCCGATATTTCAGTTAAAATACATAAGTAAAAATATTTATCCGAGTATAGTACTACCCGCCAGCTTTATGGATGATTTTATGGATTTAATTTTACGTATTATACTTGAATAAATACGGTATACAAGCCTTCTGGTGAAAAGCACTAAGAGGTTTTGTTTTAATTGCCAATTTAAAGAATTGTTTCAATATTTAAAATGAGCACAATATCATTGAGACTAATGCCATAACACATCAACATACCAGGCCTTCAGCTTTGACTAAAGGAGTATTGATGTCTGGATACACATTCTCCAGGTACCACTTGAAGCTCTTGCATTTGAGCTTCTTCCTCAGCTCAATCTGCTCGGTGAGGTTCCCAATATCCATGACGCTTCTGTCCAGCAGGTGGTGGTACCCGTGGCCGTAGAAGATGTCTTTGTACTCATCCAGCCAAACTTCAGCCACCCTYGCCAGGTTACGCTCCACCGTCTTCTGCCTGTCTTTAGGGAATTTATAGGGATTCTGCCCTCGGAAAATGTGCCCCACCCGGGAGCAGGGGATAATCTCGATTTCCCCACCGCACATCCAGATCTGTTTAAATGGCAGGCACATTTGGAAAAGAAAATAAACAAATCGGATAATTATACGAAAAGCTATGATGATGAGTAATTATACACACAAATTAAAAAATATATAACCTTGAATGAAATCTCCATGTTCTCTCCACCCCACACGTCCAGACCAGGATCATAGGTGCCAAGCTCAAAGAAGTAGTTTTTGTCAATTGAAAAAAGACCCCCAGCCATTACTGGACACCTGTTAGAGGAAAAATATTAATTAATTCTAGCTCAAGAGGGAGTAAAGCTTGTTAAATATGAAACTAGAAAGATGGTGAGAACAGTACTTGATCGGATCGGCAACGGTCAAATTGTTCTTCTTAATAACATCCTCTGGTACCGGGCTCCAACTGAACACCAAAGGCCATTTGAAAATACCTCTTTGGAAGTTGTCAACAAGCATATAACTAAAGATAAAAAGACACAAAAAAAAGGTTGCAACATCATAATGACATTTATTGATCTTTTTATTAGGTCAAACAGTTATTTGTTTTCTAGAGTCGACTGCYGCTTCTCATGCATTTGCTTGTTTGTAACTTCAACGTGGTTTAATTCAATCACCTCATGTCTTTATCACTGATGACTTCAATAACCGGACATGGCACCTTCCTGCGATCCAAATATACCCTCTCTAAGAGTGGCTCCAGCCAGCCCACATTACATTCCACGTGGGAGTCAAGAAAGGTAAGCACCTCGCCTACATTAGAAAAAAGAAAACATCCTGCTGCGGTTAAACAAACACTTAACATGATGTGATTTACACCGCAGTTATAGTAACACTAAAAACTTGAACATTTAAAACGAGCCTAAATAAAAAAATGGGGACTTCTGAATTTAACATAATCACTGTTTTCTGTTGTAACGTTAGATGAAATTTTTCCAAATTTGTTATTTTTAAAAATGTAAAAGCTTCAGTAATTTTGAACCACAGGACAAATACGTTTTCAATTCACACACATAAATACACACATCTGCCAATTAGGTACAAAAAAGTAAATACTAGTTGTTGACTGTGAATAGAATGATAAGAATAAACACTTTTATTACAACTTGGCCCATCTAGTAATAAATTCAAAGCTGTGTTATTATTGATTGAGTTTATGTAATTTCACATGCCTCATTTGTGTTATTTATGGAGGTACACCTTCAGTTTGAGTGAACCTTCAAGTTAAACATTAATCAAGCAGAACTCCTCTGGACCGTGTTTACCTTTGGCAACTGCAGCTCCTGCCAGCCTGGCCCGGATCAGGCCCTGACGCTCCTTCAGACGAACGATCCGCACTTTGGGAAACTGTGACATGTACTTATCCAGTGGCTCCTTCAGATAGTCTGCAAGAGTAAAACCAAAACGCATACTGAAAAGGACACCCTACTGGAAGTGCTGGGTGGTTAAATAAAAGTATGAACTTTTTTTAAACTATAATAATAAGAACTCATAATTCATTTAAGACTCGTCTGTACCTTTGGTGCTGAAATCGTCCACAAGAATGATCTCTTTGAGGAGGTGTGGAGGAGATCTGTTGAGCACACTGTGAACAGAGCGCAGGAGCGTGGACCACACCTCATCCACAAAACAGAAAATCACGCTGGTGGAAGGCAAGTCGTCGTGGACCAGACTCCGTGCACAGCTGAAAAAAGCAAAAAAAAAGAGACGAGTCATGCAGTCAAAGCAGCGTGAGACGTAACGCACAACCGTGGGCTCACCTTTCAGGCCTGGTGTCAGGGACGGCCCGGTCCACCGGGATCTGGTCACTGAGGTAGACATTAAAATGACCTTCACTCCACCTCTTCTTCACCTCCGCATCGTCGCTCCTGGGAAGAAGTACGGCCYGACCAAACTGGCCAACTGCTTTGGGATCTCTGGGAGCCTGAGTCACGTCCAGGTGGAGCACTTTGTGGACGCCAGAGGTGGAGTTGATCCCGACTGCTGCTCGGAGGTCGACTGCAGGCTTCACAAGCTCAGTCTTCTGAGTCACCTCCACCCGTTTCACATCCATGTTTTCCTCTTTTTTGTTTACATTCTTCTTGTGACTTTGGTGAGGTGTTTGAGCAGGGTGCGCCTCTTCTACCTGCAGACGGTTCGCTTTTGTTTGATTCTTGGCGGGTTCTCCTTTAATCTTCTGATTTGACTTTGAATCCGTGCCGTCTATAGCATTTCGTGCAAAATGCGCAGTTCTATTCAGGCCACTGTTTTTAGGTATTTGGTTTATCTGAACGTCAGGTGGAGTTTGGGTTTTTTGAGCCACTGCTTCATTCAGATCTAAATTTACAGCTTCTTTTCTGGGATGAGCATCCTGTTTCGAAAGGTTAACTCCATCGTTATGCGATCGATCTTGCTTCTGATTAGAGTTCACCTGAAGATCTTTGCTTCCACGTCTGTAGGCTTGAGCTAGTTTCTTTGATTTTTGTTTTTTCCAAGCATGGGTCACAGCCAAGTCCACCTTTTGCAGTGGGTGATTGAACCCCTCCCTCATCAGCTGGGTGACCCTGGACGGACGCTTGATCATCATCTCCTTCTCCCTGAGCACCCTCTCTCTCATCAGCTGACTGTTCACGTCGTTTATGGACAGGCGAAGAGCAGCCATGTCAAACAGGAGCCAAATGACTGAGGCGACAAACACGAAGGCGAGAACCCTCCCGCTTCCCCTCAGGTATCTTCTAATTTTCACCAGTTTCATGTTGACAGAGAAATAAAACTAAACCTATACGCGTCAAAMCTGTACCCTCAAAGCAGCATTTTAAAGTTGCTGACAAACTTTTCTTGTCCTTGAAGAAGTTAGCTGCTTGCGTGGCATACTAGCAATAGTATTTTACGCTAACCTGAGTTGTCACTGAAACAAGCAGCAGGCTATAAAGGACCAACACACACGCAGAGATACAATGCGGGTTTAAAGTAATCCATACCGTCCCGCTCGTCACGTCCAGCCGTCCAGAACCATCAGCATCATGTCGGCGTCAAATAATTCAACAAACTCGTGAGCAGAAACTCGCTTTAAATGGAGTCTGCGAAGTGTTCCCTCAAGTGCGGTTTGTTTAACAGACTCACGGTGTTCACTCACTTTTACTTTGTCGGTAATCTAATTGGACAAGTAGCGAAACAGTAGCCAACAAGAGCCTGTAAAATAACCGGAAGGACTGGGAAAAACAAACCGGAAAAAAGCGTGTCACACTTTCAGAATAAAACGCAGAGAATTTGAAGTTCAACTTATTTACAAAAAAAAAAAAAAAAAA